GTAACAGCAAATATTTTAAAAGGTCAAAGACTGTAAATCTTTTTGATAATGAATTCTATGATAACTAAATTATACAATATATTTCAATGTGGTAACATTAAGAAGTTCACAGATGATGGATTTCAAAAATTTTTGAAACTTTATCATAATTTTCTCACGAAAAAAAAAACAAGCATGTGTTGTACTGTTGAATAGTGTACACTGTCTAGTATTAACTAGTTATCCTTAAGTACGCTCTCAGAAAGATTTGCAGTCTTCTACTTTTTAATATATTTGTTATTACTTTTACATGTATGAAATAAGCCTTACTTATAGATGAAATATCAACGTAAAAGACGCAAATATCTCGAATTCTTTTTTCGTGAGTAGTTAAAAAGTCTATCTTGGTTTTGGTTAATGGATCTTCAACACTGAAATATTAAATTTTTAATGAATTTTCTCTGTAGAACTCAAGATGTTCTCGTAAGACTTGGTTTTAAAATTCTGAACTTTTTGTTTTCTTTATAAAAAGTTTAGTTAAACTCTTCATGTAAATAAAATTCAAAAATATTATTTTGGTAGAAACCTAGAATCCTGTAGAAAAAAAATACATAAAATATTTTATATATCAATATCGAAGATCCAGAGAACCGAAACCAAGATAGACTTTTTAACTATTCACTGACATATGTTTTATGATAATAGTCTCGAGCAAAAAGTAGTTTTACATTTGAAGAGATTCTCTCGTTGACCATTTCGTTGTACAATATAAGTTGAAGAGTAAACTTTTATTGTGATTAAACAATTTGGTTTTTTTTTTTTTCATTTGATAGATATCATTGTGAAGATTTGATTTCTACAAAACAAACTTCATAAATATGAATCATAATTAATTACTTGAGATAAAATAGAAAAATTCAATTGTTAAAACTCATTTGACTATTTTAGTCGACCTGATTCAAAAAATTTTGAACACGACAAGCTCTACTATCCAATCATAAGAAAAGAAAATGCCAAAAAAACAAATTTTGCTCTAATTTCGTAGTGGTTGACACATTTGATAAAAATTCGATTTTCTCAAAAGATTTCTTGTTCATAAAAAAATAAATAAATATTCTATTTACATTTCATTATATAGTAAGACTTCATCACCATCATATGTATGTTGATTAATATTAACAAATATTTCTTCTAGACAAGAAAGTATTTTTTCAGGTGATAAACTTTGTATAAGAAGAACACGTTCAGTTGAATGTGGTGCACATATTGGATGAATAGTTAATGTATGTAAAGAATATTTTTCACGTAAAATTTTTGCACGATCACCTAATTTTCCTAATATCAATGGTGCATATGATTGATGAAGAAGAATTCGTAATTCACATTGATTTAATGATGATGAATATACACTAAATAGTATTTTTTCAATAACATCTAAATGATGAGGACCTAAATAAACAATAGTTAGACAAAAAAAAAATTTCTTCACTTTTTTTTTCTATTTACCCATAATGGTTAAAATTCGTTCAGGTGTTGTTTGATTAATTTGATCTGTTGTCATTTTAACAAATTGTTGAACAAGAGGTAAATTTTCAATTTTATTAATTATATCTTTATGTACTAAAATTCGACAAATAAAATCTTTTTTATTATTTTCTTCATTAATATTATTTTGATAATTATTATTATCATCAATAGATATTTCATAATCACCATTATCAGAAAATCTATTTAATTTTAATTTTCCTTCAATTTTAACTTTTGTTGTATCAAGTTGATATGTTAAACATTTTAATATACATATTTCTTGTTCAATAGTTAATAATTTATTTCCATCAAGATTATTTTCATTTTCATTATTTAATATATTTATCATTAATTTTTGAAATAATTTTAATTGTTCAAATGATTGTTTTAAATCATTTAAACATGATTTATATAAATCATCAATTTTTTCATACATTTTTGATGACCATAAGTTAAGTTCAGATTCTCGTAATACATTATTATTATAGTCATTTGTTTCAAGATTATTTAATGTATGAAAATATAGTTGTGCTTGTTCTAATAGGGAATTAAGACGAATTTCATTATCTGTTAATGAAGTTTTATTAGGAATTAATACACGAGTTTGAAAATGATTGGCTGTTGCCATTTATTTTATCTAGACAAATCAAAGATACGAAAACAACCTTTTCAAATGTAAAATGAAAGGCAAATGATGAATAGCAGAAAGAACGAAATAAATAGAAAAGAAACAAAACGAAAAAAAAAAGCAAGAAAAAACGAACGAGAATATATTATTTACAAGTTCATCTAAAACAAAAAAAGAAACTGTATTAATTTGTGTTAATTAGAAATCGAAAACTGATGAAAAATTTTTTTATATAAATCTTCAACATTTAATAATGATCATGATATTGAATCCTATCGGAATTTAATATCAAATCTCAGACGTTATTTTCATATCTACACATCGATTTTTTTTCGTTAACTTTACAAGTAATCATCTATTTATTGATTCATTTTGAATTAAATAAAGCATTATATTTATTCTTAAATATATTCACTTATGGAACATTAATCATGGATGGTTGTTTGTCATTGTAATATTTTTTTTATTAATAAAACCAATGATAAATAAAATCTCATTAAATACTGATATATGATGAAACATTATTTATTGTCGAAAACCAATAAAATATATATTAATCTACAAAAAAAAACGAATGCATTCAATTTATACTAATGAACATGTTGAGTAGAGTTATTCATTATAAAATAATTCATAAAATTTTAAATAAAACTTATTTAATTTTAGACGATTATTATTTCTCGATTTTTTGTTATGAGAATAAAAAGAATCACTAACTAAATCATGATATATTTATATTTAATTAATAATAATTTGATATAGAATTTAATTCATATTGAAACTATAAAAATCCTACAAAAAAAAGGAAAGATTGATTAAAATATATTCCAAAACATACACAATCTTGTTTATTAACCCTTTCATTAAAATACCGAAGTTATGAGTACACTTTATCAAAACTAACTATCATTTATTCAAATTATTGTTTAATTAAACAAATTATACATTGAAAAAAATATAAAAATAATCGTTGATTCTTCAAAGATATAAAGATTCTAAATTAAAATCTATATATAAACGAAAAAAACAGCCATATAATTGTGCATCGAATGGAGGTTTGAAACGAGAAAGAGAATAACCGAAAAAAGAAAAAGAAATAAAAAAAAAGTTCATGTGTCTGAAAGAGAAAAAGAAAGAGTGAAGAAAACGAATACTACGGGTACGGGTAGATTTTGTGACATACAAACGAACGAAATGAATTTTATATCATAATATAACGTTAACTTGATAACTACTTATCTATTTCACTGATAAAATAAAAAATGAAAATTGTTCCTCTGAGATTCAATCAACTTTTCTCAAACATTAATAAATAATATAAATAGATGAACGAAAACTAATTATTGCTATCGAAAATTTTGATTTGAATCTTCGTTGTAGCTCTCAAAATTATTCAACAAGATTTTTTTTCAATTTTTCCACTACCATAAATGTTAATATAAATCTAAAGAGTAATTTATGTAGACAATTTTATTTCTTAGAAGAATTTTTGAAAATGAATATGATTACTAGTTTTTCAAGAGTCGGATCTCTGAAAAACCAAAGAAATTCGCAAAAAAAGAATTTTATTTGAATTATTTAAAATGATAAAGTAAACCGTTCTTTACATCATGAAGCTTCTTGCAGCTCTCTACGACATTTTTTTTTAACAAAACACATTGATCTTAGGGAAGACACAAATGTCTTTTTTTTTTCCTTCTATAAGACTGATGTATCTCGGTCAAAGAATGTCGTAGAGAGTTGGAAAATGCTTCATATGGTAAGGAATTGTTTGCTCTATCATTCCGAATAATTCAAATAGAATTTCAGAAAATGAAAAAACTTGGTTTTGAATTCTTCATAGATCATATCTTTGGAAAAATTGCAATCATTTTCATCTTTGAAAATTCTTGTTGAAATAACATTCTCTACATAAATCACTATTTGCATACTTATTAGTATTGATGGCAGTAAAAAACACTTCAAATAAACCTGATTGAATAATTTCTCGAGCCATTGTATCTTCATAAATATTAACAAGATTGTGTAAATTAAATAAGAGAAAACATGTTTTATTCGAAGGGACAATAATGATATTATTATTGAAATAATGATTTCAATTGTACAAGATCTTTTGTTTTTCGAGAAATCAAAAAAAAAACAAGAAAATAAGCTGTTCTTAGACTGTAGAAAGGGTTATTAAATAGTGCTTATATACGTGCACACCAAATAGTTAGCAATTGTTTGTTATATGAGAAAAGTATCAGCTGTTAATGATTATTTACAGTACCTTGATAATTTGTAATACAGGGTCGAACTTCGAAAAAATGAGATTAAAATATCAACTTGATATCGAAAGGTACCAAGAATAAATAATTGATTTTTTTAAAAATTATAATAAATACGTTAAAAAGAAACATTGATCATAACAAGTATACAATGGAAAAATAATAGATGAGTCATCTTTAAACTGAATCAATCACAGAACAGTTATCCTTTATATAACACATGTGTCAACTTGGAAAATTCCAAGTAAACGTATGGAAGACATTTTTCGAACTAAGCAGAGAGAATGAAAAAACATGAAGATTTCAACCTAAAATATTGACTACACAGCTTGTTTTTCTCTTTTTCTTTTGATTGACTATGAAAAACTAATAGACCGTAACCGATTGATAATTTTAACACTTTGTAAAAATAAAAATGAAGATAAAAATCCAGTAATTATATGAAGATAAAATCGAATATTTTATACATTAACAAAAAATTTCTCTTAATATGAAGTTTTACATTAAAACGAAAATATATATTTTTATTTGATTTTGTTTATTCTTGTTCTTCGTTTCTTTTTTTTGTTTGAATTAATCTAATTTAAATAAAAATTTTTTCATTGAAGAACACCACTAAAATGAAATAATGCATGTTTATCACTATCTGTAACATAAAGACTATCATCAATAAAAAGAATGCCAATTGGTTTTGCAAATAATTCATGTCTTAATTCACCTCGATATTCTCCATCAATTGTAAATACAAATATACTTTTTGATAAACTTGATGTAACAAATAAAAGATCTCGTACACATCGAATAGATCGTGGTGCATCAATTGATAAACCTAATGTTAATTCTGGTATTGTATTTATTTGTTGATCAGTATTTTTATTAAATATTAAAACACAAGCTTTTGTTCCACTTGTTACATATAGTATATTCATTATTTGTATCACATATTATTATATCATCATTATCATCATCAATACTTATGCCAGTTGGATTATTAAACATATCTAAAAAGAAAACAAAATACGAAATAGAGAAGGAACTCATAATGCGATAACATTGATGCCCTTGTGAAATTAAGTTTTATGCTTTCCAAATAGTTAATCTAGGTGTCACGAATTGCTTGCCGTTCGAGTTAATCAGTTAGTTTCCATTGTGCCTATGCATAAATCACTTAAAACTCAATATCATGCTTGCCTTATAAGATCGTGATAAGCAGTTTTCATTTCAAAAAACTTTTGTTTCGTTTTCAACGCTTTATATTACAATCATATACAAAATGATAACTCATTGTTTCCGCTATCGAATGGTACTGTTATGTCATATATACAACATAAGCGTTGCCATGATAAGATTCCTCTCCTATGGTTCTATGAAAGTAGTGATCCACTTCGAATTCCATATTATTCGATAGTCCTGTTGGAGTTCTACAACGTGTCCCTATTACATTGAGTTTAATTTGTGCTTCAGACACAGATGATCAGAGTTTTTTTTGAAGGAAAATGATGGATCACTTTGAAGCATTCAAAGATCAGCTAACTATTCAGATCAAAATTGATCAAATATCAATCAAAAAGAGCAATTTTCGACTCTCTCAAATATTGTGCGTTTGAGTGAAGTATCTTAGCCACAAGTTATGCTCTATGTATCAGCAACATTTTGTAGAATTTCAAATCCATATTAACTATTTGGAAAGTATGAAACTTAATTTCAAGAGAGAATCGATTTCATTGCTTAAGAATTCTTCTCTGATTTTTTTCTAAATTGAAAATTACTTCGTCCTTTGCCAGATTTATTTGAACCAATAACTTCAACTTTATGAAATTCTTCATCTAAGATAATTAATTTATGATTATCAGTAATTAAATAACGTTTATCTTTTGTAAATGAAACATCACGTGGTTCACGAAAACCAATTATTGTTCGAATATGTGTAAATTCTCTTGTTAAAATTTGTAAACGATTATTATCAATTTCAGCAATAACTAAATGTCCATCGCCATTTATTGTCATACCAGCTGGTGATTTAAATTCTAATTTTCCACAACCTTCTTGTCCAATTATTTCCATTTTACCTGTTCGAGAACCTATTTTATTAAAAAAAAAAAGAAATATTTCATATTGAAAATCATTCATGAAATAACAAAAAAAAACCGAACCTGATGCCAATGCAGCTAAACGACTATCATGATCACCACTAGCTGATGTTCCACTTGGACTAATAGTACCATGAATAGGTTTATCAAGAACAAGTGTACCAGCTAATTCTTCATTAAGCATTTGAAATGAAGATGAAACAAATTGAATAGTTGGTGTTGATTCAATTAAATCTCGAGCTGAAAAAAATCATTCAGCTATCCTCTCTTTTTTTTTTTTATTAACAAAAGTGACTTAATCTCTCCCTCGCTCTCACGGAGTAGTAGTTCTCTAGGTTTTGTTTGTATTGTAACTATAATTCGATTCAATTACAAGTAGAGAAGTACACAAATCTCGATAGATTGGAGTTTTCAAACTGTCTAAGAACTTTGATAGTTACTGAAAAACCAAATCTATACTCTTCCAGTTTTATGTTATCAGATAACCTGAAGGATACGTTAGCTATACTAGTTTTATCATTTACATGTTCGGCTACCATAAGCATTTCATGAATTATAATATAGATACATCAAATAGCGCTTATTATGCTACTCTAACCTGAGAAATTGTCGAGCTTTGGAGACGTTGAGAAAAACTTCTATACTGCTCTGTCAGGCTACGTCATCTGAGAAATATGAATACAATTCAGAAATGCAAGAGATACATTTCAATTATTTGGAAACGAATATAAAATAAACTCTTTACTTCCAAAAATGAGAGCTTCTCTCATTTTTATGCAATAGGTTTCGATTTTTGCTCCGTTACATTGATATCTGTACTTCTCCCATTCCTATCTCTGTTTTTGAACATTCAACGTGACATTGTCATTCGAGATCATGCGGCTCTTCGGTAGAAAAAGAAGATGCGATGCTGTTTCTAGCTTATATGATACTCTATACTATCAAATACGATAATGAATAATAGAGATCTATTTGAAATATTCACACAATCTATATGCAAAGTTCAACTATAGATGTTCAAATTGAGAAAATTCATCCGTTCTATTTTTCTAAGATTAGCATATAAAAATCTAATCTTTTTGAATGTGTGCTTAAATCGAGTCGATCTACTCATTGGTAAAATGTACGGGAGTTCGCCTTTTTTTTTTACAGATATTTATAATCTGGAGGTTGAACTTCTGTTCTGTTGGGAACGGGAGAAATACTTACAAAGAATAGGTAATCGTTTTCGTGGTTCTTGAAACTGTTGTTTAAGACGTAATAACACTTCAGTCTAATAGAAAATATGTAAAAAAAAAATCAATTATTTCTATAAATTCTTTACTTGAACATTAACATCAACAAGTAAATGTTTTGAATCTCCGACAAATTTATCAATAGATTGTATTTCAGTATGAAGACGAGCAACACAACGAGCAAGATCAGCTTGACGACGATCATGAAATTCTTGAATTTTTTGACATAAACGTTCATTTAATAATTTTAAATTCTTTTGCATTTCATCAAAACTACAAAAAAATAAATAAATTTATTATTATTATTATTTTTTCTTAAAAACAATTCATACCGTTTATTAGCTTGTTGAAATGTTTCATCACATTGATCTCGAAAATCATTCGATGTTTGATTAAGTGCTAATTTTAATTCATCACTCATTCGTTCAATTTCCATTGTTTCTCGTGTAATATCACTAATAACTTCTTGTCGATGAATTTCCAAACAAGAAACACATGCTTGTCGAGAACAATGTGCACATGATGTTATTGATGGTTGAACATTACATATTGCACATTGTTTATTTTGAACAATATCAATTTTTCGAATATGTAATAATTGCATTAAAGCTACATTTTGTGATAATAAATCAACATTAACAATAGTATGCTTAGCTAAACCTGAGTAAATAAATATTAAAAAGAAAAAGTATATTAAATAAACGAACAAATAGAACAAGCCATGATAGTTGTATCGAGCATCGTATTTCGTATACAATCAATACAAAATGTATGTCCACATGGTAAGATTCGAGGATCTTTAAATGTTCGATTACATACTGTACATGATGTTATTTGACGAATATTTTCATAAGAACAAATAGCTGTTGTCATTTTATTCGATTAATAATTAGAAGAGTGAAATGAAGATAAACGAAAATGAAGAGAAGATTATAGCGCAAATACGAAAATTGTAACTGTCGCGCCTATCTCTTTTTTTTTTTTTTTTCTTTAAAGTTTTGTTTTCGTAGAATAACAATGATTGGTTGTAGGCGCCAAAATAGTTTCTTTTTTGTTATTAAAATTTTGATCAAATTTTACAATATTTTCATGTTTAGTTATGAATAGAATATTAATTCCGACAGAGAAATCAACAGTGCCCTAAATGTTTTTCTTTAAAGCTCTGAAAATCGAGCAAAGGTTTTCCATTTTTCATTCAACGTTAAACCACTATCAGTTTTACTCGAAGTTCAAAACGACTGTTTGATTCAATATGAGAAATATAATACAAAATGCATTTTTATTGATAGTATCTAGTATAAAACAGATGAAAGCAATTCAAAACGTTTTTCTAGAAATAAAACAAGATCTTTCTAAGAAATAATTGAATTTAAAGCCAATCATTTCTAACATGTAATATGATGAAAAATGTTGCTAGACAACAGTAACTTATGACATTAGAAATCATATCAAGACAACAAGCCAAAGTAGATATTATTAACTTTGTTTAGTAAAAGTTAGGATAAAAGAAAATATTCGAAGAGATCTGTATCGTGATATATGATACCGAATGACGTTTCTTTGCAGGATATAGTACTTTATATGTCGATGATAAGTTTCGGTGATATTGAACGGCCTGTAAAGGATGACTCTCTCAATATTTTGTCGATTTGTTTCTCAGTTTTCAAAGTTTTGATTCAAATGTTTTTTTCAAAAGATAGTTCGATCAAATCTTAACAAAAACACAATTTGAAAAGCTCTTCTGATGAGGAACTGGAAAATTATACATGACCTATAGGAATTTTACTTCTAAAAAGTTTATTATTAAGCCATTATTTCGATTTAGACGATTTTGTACTGCTTTCTTTTATGATATATAGAAGTAACTGAATGCATCTTCTAGTGTTTTAAGACAAGATTTATCAATTGATCGAGTACTTTCTTTTATCTAGAATATTTTTGATCTATCCGAACAAAATATGTTGTTCGTTCTCCCACATTTGTATTTTAGAGATTTATCAAAAGTTTCATTTAATTAAGTAGAGTATATAATAAATTTGAATTCGTATTTATTGCCAAATGGAACGGAAGTATTCGCTTATGATTTGAATCGGAGCAAACTATTGACAATTTCTGTCGTAAGCGACATAATTAAGGAGAATAATCAATTATTCCCATTCATTTGTCAAATCGATTGATCACAGAAATCTCATAAATTTACTGAAAAATTTTGTTCTGAGCTCTGTCAAAAAGAATATTTTTGAAAACATAGAAGATTTAATTTCGAATTATTTGTAATCTGTTTAATCGCAAGAAAAGAAATAATTAGTTTTGTAAAACTGAAGAGTATGCTTGAAAGTGAACCTTTTTAAAATATAATACGCTTTTCAAATTATTCTGTTGAAAAGTTCATTTGACTGGATTTCATAGAGACTTGCAGAAGCTATTTTGTGAGAAAATATTCAAGTCAAAACTCTGAAAACTGAGAGAGATGACTACCAAATACTAAGAAGATCATTCTCTATGAGTTGCCTATTACATGTGATGATAGTTAGCATTAGAGTCCATCTCTATTGCGATTCTATTTCTGCTATTGGTCATTTTTAGAATTTTTCAAAATAGCGTAGTACAGAACGAATAAAAAATCTTGACTATTTTTTTTTTTGTTGCGAGTTGTGTATTCAAACTTCACAACATTCATTTAATTCGAGTATATGTCTCTATAGTAGAGGTCGAGTACTATATACATACCTGTTTATTATGATAAAATTTTGAATATGAAATACAATTAAAAAAAACTTCAATGCTAAGAAAGAACTAATGGAAAAAAGACAAAATAATATGGTTGTTACGAAGGATCCTGTGAGATTAGGTGACATATTCAGAAATGAGAGAGTGTGAATGTCTGTGTGGATCTTCCTTTCAACCACATCTACACACACATCCCGACTTTCATCTAATGTAGTTTGTAGTGCTACATTGCTGACAATATCTAAGAAAGTTTGGCATTTGGTTTCGTCGTCTATAATCGACAATTTCGAAGAGATGGAGATTCACTATCAGTGAAAAACTGTGATAAATTATTGAAAAATTGCAGTTTTTTCTATTAAAGAGAAAAATGCTGGGAGAGGTTAATTGTAGCAGCTTGTAGCTAATGAAAAGCTCTACAAAACTGTCAATGAGAAAATTTTTTTATAAACACTTTTGACTGATGCCAAGGACAATAATGATCAGGAACTGATTACACTTTGAATTCACAGTTATCTATCAGTAAATTGACTCTAGTTCCTTCAAAGTCTTATGAAAATAAAACTTATCATATACCATTTGATGCGTCTTGACTTGCTCTACAACATGATATATTTGATGTTTCAAGTCTGAATAGATCATCTAATCTGATAGAGTTTCTTATAACAATACTTTGTTTTTTATTGTATTTTACATTCAAGATTTTATCATATTAAACAAGTTTATGTGTATGGTATTTGATGCATACTATGTAGGCCTACAGTCAAATTGAATTAATGTTGTGTAGTTTAAATCCACGGCTCAAACCCAACAAGTAGTGCGATACTATATCCTTTTTATGCTGAAAAACGATTTTTATTTTTACAAAAAAAGCATTTTTGTGAGCATCATCGTCTTTACACTCGTTTAAAAAAAAAAGAATTTTTTTGAAAACATTACGAGTTTATGTTTTGACACGTAAAACATGTTTTTTATCGGTGATGTCTGACTGCGCAGATGTTATACAAAGTAGAGTAGGATAAGGACGAGAAGATTTTTCGAATCAAGGTCGCAGAGTACGAAAGGAACTTATCCTGCACATCTATACTTGGCATATCTTGAATAGCTTATTTCGATACTTCACATTGATTCAAGTTTTGAACTTATCAAATAAGATTATTCACTATCAAAACATGAAGTTTTCATAAAAATATAGATAAGTGTGTCATGTTAGTTGTTTACAGTCGATGTTATAGATTGATTTGAATATTCGACATATTCAATTAAAATATCTTCTATTAAATTGGAATAAAAGAAAAATTACTAGAAAAAGAAAAACAGTGAACGGTAAATGTTAACGGTTATCAAAACAATTTATTATAGTCTGAATAATGTGTTGATTTATGTCATATGTGAATGAATCACTGATATTAAGTTTTTTTTTTTTCAAAGTAATATTAGATAAAAAAGATACAACAAAATGCAAAATGAATATTATTTTTGTCTGTATTATATTTTATCTGACACATGCATAGATAAAAAGCGGAAATGCAAAAGAACAACAAACATTTTCGTTTTCTCTTCTTCTCATTTTTTTTTCTTGTTAGAAGAATAATAGTTGACGTGTTCGACAGACGTACCTTATGGCGTCATTATTCTTTCAGGTTAATTCAATTTTTTATTACTACTGATGAGAATGCAATGCTTAAAACAATCTTGTTTTTTTCTGCATAGTTGATATCATTGGATGATAATGCAACTACATATGATAATCAAAGTTATATTACTACTATTAGTGATATTATAACAGAAGAATATTCTATTAATAATATTGTTTCTACATCATTAAATAATGGTTCTAGCACTTCAAATAATATTGCATTGGCCAGACCAAATTATGTGAATGAGTCTTTGATTACTAGACTTGTATGTCCTATCATTATTATTATTTTTGTAATTGCAATAATTGGTCTTGCTTTTCTTCGTCATCATCAACATTTACAAACACAACAAAAGAAAGAAAAAGAATACTTACAGGTAAGGCGATACGTTCGGTTGTATGAAAATTATGTTTCTATGGAGGGTTATTTTTCTCCTAGAATGAGAAATTATGTGCTCATCCATTTGAAGAAGTTCTCATTGTTGCCGATGAACCTCAATCTATTGAATTAATGCAAACAAGACCAACAGAAACTACAAATTGATTTATAAAGCTATTTTAATTGTATGATGAACAGTTTATAGTGACGATTTTTATGGACAATTCTTATTTTTGGTCTTCTCTGAAATGTTTGTACATCACTATTAAATATTTCTTGTTATTTATTTAATGTAATAAAATCTTAAAGAGTTAGCTTATCTTCTCAGTAATCAATCATTTTTTAAAATATACAAAAATAAAATACTTCCTGCAACAAATAAATCATAAAATAATAGTTTGAGAAGTGCTAACTTGTTTCATGTATCAACACTTTTTAAATTTTTGTTTCTTATTTAAATATGTAACCAAAACATCTTGCGTCTATTTAAACTATGTGAAGAGTATTCGAATCAGTTTCATAGGAATTATGTCTTCCTTTTAAAATCTTCATTAAGCTCATATTCATTCTACATGACGACAATTGACTTTAATTTTCGATCAAATTCAAGTTTTACTACATTCAATTAACATTAGATTATTATATGAAAGAAAATAGTTTAGGGGATATACCGATATTTTCAATTCAGTGAATCAAAATGTTCTTTCTGGATATTGTCAACAAAAAGGTTGCTCGTATTTTTTAGTCAAGAATCATATCATGAATTTGAAATAATATTTAGCATGTTCTATTGAATCAACGCATGAGATATGATAGATAAGTTGTGGATTTTTTTAATTTTCTTCACTCTACTTTTGAACATGCTGTAGAAAAACTTGATTGTTTTGTGCTTAACTAAAGTAGTCAATTTCATCAAACAGAAATGGATGATTTTTGTAACACATATAGGTTTTTAACAAGGAAATTCATCTAACTGATACTCTCTCTCTCTCTGTTTAAGCTAAGTTTTTGCTGATGAATAGCACCTATTGTTCAGCGGAAAACACTGAAAAGATTGGTGGTTTATGCCTTTCTTCTTAAGTTACGATCATTTTTACTATTTTACAAGATATTACGGAGAAAACTACAAGAAAGCACTTCTTCCTGATTCTTTTAAATTCGGTTTTTGAATTTGCAGACGTTACTGATTCAGATAAGAATATCAAAATAAGAAAAAAAAACATACCGTTCGAACTACTGCCTCGACACTTTACATGTAGACTTCGTGAGTATTAAAAGACTTCTCCTGAAGCATAAAGCTGAACTATATATTCTGTTGACCTGAAGAGAGTTTAATCACGGAGTTGTCGTGAACCAGAAGAAAGTAGAATTTGTAACGGTCTACTTTTAATGTAATAGAAATACAGTGATTTTTAAAACATCATGTAAAAGATAACATTTTTTTCCTTATCAAGAATGCAGTTCTTGTGAATTGTTTATACTCACCAAGATTAGGTTTTTTGTTTTGTATGAAGCTGTAGTCGAACAATATGAAATAGAACATAAACTTTTCGGAATTAATCAAAAACTCACAGTTGCTGTTTTTTTACTGCTCGATTTCAACTGATTTTGAAACCAACGTGTTACACTAGACACAACCTAAAAACGACTAGGAGTCTGATCGTGCTCAATATTGAGCATGCGTTCTTTTAGGGATAGATAAATCAAAATTTACCAGTTCCTAGAATTTCTAATCAAAATTTAGAACCGTTCCACTATTGAAAATTACTAGATTTCTAATGTTTCTTCATGCCAGATGTAATAAGTTTTGAACATTCTTTCTAACTCTATTCTTAGTTTTTCTCTAATACGATCCACAAGTATCAAAACTGATCGGAATTAGTCAAAAAAAAACAAAATATGAGAAGTTTTGACTAATTACACAACCTTTGTATTCTATTTCAAGTATTTTGACTTCAACTTCGAATAGAAGAAAAAAACTGATCATGGCTGCTATAAACAATCAAGAGGAATTACATTCTTAATAGAGGAAAAACTATCATCTTGAACCTCATGTTATAATAGTAAATTTTTGAAGTAAAAAAAAAACCGTTCCAATTATACACATTTATTTCTTTTTCTTTGATTGAATTTTCGAAAAAATATGTTATTTATTTATTTATTTGTGTCACAAAATTTCTTTAAAAAAACTATACTCTTTTATTAAATGAACGAACGTATTTAATCTCGAGTGTTTGTTTTGGTTTAATATTAACTTCCCATTGTATATCATGTCGTTGATTAGCTACATTGTTATCAGCTTTAATTGCGTCTTTTTTTGGTGCTATTGAATAATTATTCATTTTTCCCATTAGTGTTGCAGTAATAACAACAACTACTTCTTCTGATTTATAATTCATTACTAATATTTTTCCATCGATTTGATCTGTTTGATAGTGAACACGAAAGAGAGTAAATTGTTTTGAGTTTGTAACCGTTACTTTTTCATCTAATTGTACTCGAACATCGAGAGCTTTAGTTAAATTAACAAAAGTTGTTGATCCTTTTAATGTATACGTCAATTTATCTTGACCAATAAATTGTTGTTCTAATTGACCTTTTGTTATAACAATTGGTGCTGTTGTCCAAACAAAATTTGATATATTTTCAAATTCAACACTATGCCAAACCTAGGAAAATATTCGTTAATAATAATAATAATAATAAACATTAAATTAAATAATACCTCTTCGAAATCTTTTTTCTCATCGTGTCCGTAAAAGATGTTTTCCGTTCGTGTTGCATCAATTTTACAATGATAAACATCTTTATAAGGTATTTCAATGTCGAAGATTGGTAACATGAGACGTTCTTTCTTTTGCAATAAAACATTTTTAAATTCATATAAATGAAGATCATCAACACCTGAATCTTGTTGACTGTCACTAGGACCATTATTCCCGGTTGATGATATTGGCATAACTGTTTGTTGCATCATAACAGAATTTGACATAATATTTGCATTACCATAATGATGTGATCTTGAACTTTCGACTTCACATTGTTTTAGTCGATCAAGAAATGCTTTCACATCTTCCCCACTAATTATAGGATCCACAACCGAAGCAAATTTTGATACATTTGGAAATCCAACAATACAAAATAAATTATCAACATTCATATTTTCAATATCATTTAGAATAACAGCTTTTGATGAAAGACGAAGTCTTTTTATAGAAGGATCTTCTGAAGATAAAAGTACTAAACTAAAATTCAGAGACATATAGTTAAATGAAAAGTTTGCTAACTCTGTATTGATTTTACTTGTATGAAGGTGCCCATGTAATACCAAATGTAAGATATTTCATTAGACCTGTATCATTGGATCCTGATTCATTTTTATATTCAATTGAGAGACAATTTTTGAAGATTTTACGTTGATATATTGTCTTAAGTGATACACCTCTAATCGATTTCACATTGGATAGAGATAATGCTAACAGACCATTATCAGTTGTTTCAAGTAAAACTAAATTGCCTAATTGAACTTTCGGCAATGGAGTAGAAACTGTTGGTTGAATAGTTGGTATGTAACTAGCATGTGGTACTGGTGGAGCTACATCAAACAAATCAATTTTATTCTATCTTATGAAGAACATTGAACGATTCTATAAGATTTAGCTGTGACATGTGACTTTAATTATACTATCATTGGTCTCTTTTTGAGAAAAAAGAAGAAAATTAAAGCACGAAAATGAAATTTATTTAATAATCGAAATTCTCTAACTTATGATGGAAAATAGAAAAGGCTCCCAAAAGAATTTGGTTATACATGCTCTGGACAAACTAAATCTTCAATGTATACAAGAGAGGACATGTATTTAGCTAAGTTCTGAACTTTTGTTTGGTTTCATCATATTTTAAGACACATACGAGAACTATGAACAGGAAAATAATGCTAAAAGATCTTATCACATAAATCAATTATATCTAATCATAATAGTAATTAATTTGAAGTGCAATAATTTTCAAAAAAAAAACAGACAAATATAACAAAGCTAATGAATGAAAAGAAAATTTCGTGTGTACAAATAGAAATAAAAACAAGAATGGTTCTTATAAATCGAGTTACATATTATTCATTTCATAGATCATTTTCTTACATCAAATTTGTATTAGATTGCACATCGGCTCGCTAAATTATAATAATTGTTCTTAGTCAAGCGTAATAAAACTTTAGAGTCACCTTATATCATATAGAACATTAAGATACAACAGCTCCTACTTCGGAATTCAAAGCAAACAAACAGTTTTTTTTAACTCCTCAAATTTCCGTATGACAGTTAGAATATTATAGTACGTAGATGAAAGATTAGTCATTAGATATTTACATGATAACAGAAGTATTATATTTAAAATTATGTTCCCAACAAAAAATTACTCACCAGTACTTGGATAGACTCCAGTACTTGTTCTTTCAAAATTGACATCATTTGTATCTTCATCGTCGGATACTTGTTGCATTCGTTTTATAGATTTTATTTTGCCAGATATCCATTCTCCGGTGTTGTTAGATGTGAAATCTGTAACTAACAACTGAACATCTTGTCCAACATTAGCTTGAACTAAATCTTCTACAGTCCAACATTCTTTATCGACAAGTTTATGCGTTTTTTTTGTACGAATGGAACCAATGGAAGCTAAATAAACACATAACATTATAAATATATGAAACGAAATGACATACTATTATTTGATAGTGATTGTATCCAAAATGTTCCATGTACAGGATTTGATGGTGGATCAAGAAGTTCCAAAGGTTTACCGTCCTGAGCTTTACTTGAAGGAAATTCAAATGTTTTAACAATCATTCCATAACCATTTTTGAATAAATAGACATTTGATGCATGTGATGGAGTTTTATCATCAGTAGTAGCCATTGAATATATTTATCGAATATTTTGAATAAAATCTGTAATGAAAAGTCATGTGTAACAAGTATAGCTATATATAGATAATATTTCTTTTTTATGGTGCAATACCTATCGCCAACGTGTCACTATAAATATGTAACAGCATATTATGAGGGTAAAAGAAAAAAGAGAACATTTTTTATTTACTAACCACAAGAGTCTTTGCTTATTAAGTTCGCCACAATCCTTCTCATATGAAAAATCGACATTAACACAAAAATAATAAGAATTTGTCGTATGAGTTTTAGATTAATATTTATTTGGTTTCATCAGTAACATAATTGTTAGTCAACAAATATCAGATTTGGTATATTTTATTTCGGAATAATGATGTTGAAATTATTTTTTTCTAATATCACTCATATTTGAACGATCATAAACTAAACTAGGCAAACTACAAGATTATTTTATGACAGAAAATAATGAATAATAGAATAATAAGTTGTGACCTGATCAAGAAAAGTGTAACACCCCCATAAAATTGAGACACGCTCGGTTCCCAATATTGACTGCTTTGAACCAACATTGAGAATAATTACTATAAGAATGCATTTACAATAAATTGTGAAGATGAATTTAATTCAAGGAGAAAAGAAAATGAAATACATTTGGTGATGTGAAGGATTATTTGAAAGATTGCTATTTACATACTTTTATGACTATATATGGAATTCTCATCTGATTGGTAACAGTCTTTCTCGTTATTAACATTAAATATATAGATTCTTAAAATTTGGACCTATCTGACATATTCATGGACAAATAAGTGTTACGGCATACACATGTTTTCTAATGACTTCATCATAGGTACTCTGATAAATCTATTAATTGCTAATTATTATATCTCTACTATCTGGAAATAGATTACAATGACAGTGATTCAAATTGAAAATAACATCAAAAGAACGAAAATGATTACATCTGTAGACACTTACGATATAATTTGCTTAACTCTGCTAAAGAAAGTGAATACATTGGGAAACATCAATTTTGTCGACTACAAAAAATGTCGATCGTAAATTTGTCGATAAAATTTACGATCGACATTTTTTGTAGTTGACAAAATCGTAGGCACTCAATACATTCACTTGAGATATCAAGTTTTTCTTCACTTTAGCTTGTTCATACTGCATTCCAAAGAATGACTGATTACATGAGTTGACTCTAACCTTGAAAAGTCACGAATTTTTGTTACCTAGAGATCACAATGACATCTGTTGAAAATTTGACGTCTGTTTCTTATTTTTATGATCAAAATCAATTTAGAAGAACAATTAGTAAAGATATCTCGTAAAATTTTCCTGTAGATCTTTCAATTATCACCTGCTTACGTATCGTCGATATGAAGGGTTGATCATTTGTCCAATCGTATATCAGGATCTATTACGCATAAATATTCGTTATCTTCGAGTAAATCATTGAAAATAGCGGATAGAAAAAGTTAAAAGGTATAAGAGTTATTTTAGAAATTTCTCTAAATAACCGGATAAATCCATTCGATCGATTTGTGTCTTACGCAATGAGATGATGTCTGTATAACTGAGGAGCGGTGCGACCGGTTAGGGAATAGTAGAGCGTACTTTTCACCTCCTTTTAAATATCTTGATGGTAGCTTTCTCTCATTTGGAGGAAAGTTCATGATGAATTTTGTCTGAGTTTGATGAAATTAGGACTATGTTTCGCATTAAACTATTATAGTTTTATTTTCTCGCAATCATCACAGTTTGTAAATTATTCTTCTGTTTAGTTTCGGAAGATTTGTGCTGTACTTTTCTCCGAGTTTTTGATGATTGTATCTAGAGAGACAATTTCATCAATAAAAAGAGCGATTGGAATTACCAAAAAAAACTTAATCACATTCTATAACACGTCGAGATATTTTAAAATATCTAGAGTTTTTATCTTGAAAAGATTTTGAAAATATTGTGACAGCAATGGAATTGACTTCATGACGTACACAATAATTAGAATCTTCAATCTTAACTAAAATTTCTACTGCTTCTGGCAGCAATAACAGTTGGCATTAGCATGGCCAGCTACAGTAGAAAAAGAGATTCAGAAGCGTTTCCACTATAAAGAACGACAAGACAGGACGAAATCTTTTTTGGAGTCTGCACTAATGTTTTTGACGTAGTAAATGGTTTGAGTTCTATGCAGATTTATGAACTTATCTTAGTTTTCGGCTTTTATGTAAAAGTCGGTCGATAGGACAACATTTTTGCACTTTTCTTACGGTCAAGAAAAATTTACGTAGTGCCTATTCAGTTACACAATTGGAGCATCAGGACTATAAGAGATTGCAGTTACATCCCGATTTTTTCTCTTCTCCTGTTTATACTAGAATAATTCTGATTCATCTAACATATATATTTATATATATTCAATTTAACTCTATATGGTTGACTCAGACTGCTATTGCGGTAGGCCACATGTTTCTTCCATTGTTGAAGATACCTCTCCTCTTGATTTGATATCAACAAGTCCAATTATATTTGTTAAATCAACAGAGTACATCCGTTTTATTTTCTTCTTTTAGATCAATTTGAATAAATAATGTCGTTCAGTAAGTACTTATATTATTGATCTATAATTTATTTTAAATAAATACTTCTCCTTTTTGTTTTATTTTTTAAGATGGTATGACACAACCTGGTCAAATTGGGCCTGGTAATGATATCGATATGATAAAAAGTTATGGTGGTCCTGAAGAAAATCAACATTCTTCAACTATGCATGGAAGTAATATTATTAATTTTTTCTTCGACACACTTAGAGTTTAATTTGTTATGATTTTAGGCGGTGTTGCCTTACATACGGTGCCAACTGATGAAATTAATAAAAATCCTGAAACCGAACCGTAAGTTAGATGGATTTTTTCTCTATTTTACGCATTTTATGTTTGTTTTTTTTAGAAAACCAACTCAAGATCAAACTTAAAAATAATTTCTGATAACATTTGATGCTGATAATCTTGCTTATTTCAGCGAGAATGAATAGTGTCGTGCAATTTTCTTTTTAAGTTTCAGTAATAAACCAGCACATTATTGTTTTTATTAATCTAGCAACTTAGTCTTAGATGAAAAGTTCGGAATGCTGAATTGCATTCGGTTTTTATACAAAAATAAACTTTTTTTTTGATGATAAACAATATTTTGATAAGTTTTATTAAATGCACTATATGAAATTATGACTGATATATATTGATGCACAAAATCATATTTGTCCGATGTAGGAGAAGGCCTTTTCACTGGTTTATCATCATCCCATTGACTACTCTAACGAACTTCACCATTAGGACTTGTCAATGCGATGATATTCACCGTACTGCCACTCCCATGATATTTTCCTTCATAGAAAATACCGTTATACTTTTGCTCATCTCTAAATGTCAAAATTCTCACACAATGTGGTTGGCCAGATGGATTCTTATGGCCAAGATAATGTGTATGATGACTAATACCTATCATCCAAAAGAAAATTTTAGAGAATGATAACTTGTTTCAATGTTTTCATGTTTTGACGAAATAAAACGTGTATTGAATGAAAGTTAATACTTGATTGTCTCTTTTCTACGCTAAAAATTATTATTGTTTATTGTTACTGATTTGAATCGTATTACAAAAAAATGATGCAATTTAAGCCCGGTTTTCTTCTTCGAATGACAACAAAAGCATAATGTGTTCCTTCTCTCTTCTAATAAAAACTGTTGTATAAAGAAGGAACGGAAAAGTATATGATGCATTGTGCCATCGCATGACGAAAGAGTTTTATTTTGTGTAGACATCGTAGCGAACTTTGTACCGTCAATATTGGCATTACTTTATTGCACCAACAGCCGCTATAAAAAGAAAATAAACCAATGTCTATAAATGAAAAAAAACAAACAGCTATGCGCAAAAAAAAGAAGGATATAGGGTATAGTTGTGAGTGTTGATACGCGTGTGTTTTGAATGTCTCTTGGTGCCGATGTTTTCATCTCATTCATATTTACACCCACAATGACACAATCACTGTATGTCTCTCCGTAAAAAATGATGTTCCAAGTTCCCAAATGTCTCATTTTGTCGCAAAAGGTGTCTGCTATTCGTATTTGCCGTAGAAAAATTAGTCCCGCATATGCTTCAAATATCTTTGCTATAAATGCTGAATTTCGGGGATGGTCACAGGTCACTTCGGCTCGGTCAATGCAATCTGATTTTAAATTTTAATGAAAATGTTCAGCAGGAATGCTGATATCTATATATGTGATTGTCAAGCAAAATCGAAGTGATTTTGATACGCAAACAACGAAACTACGATATTGATTGTATACTTTTTTTAGACGCGAAAACTGGTCAATGTCAGCATATATTTACTTTCTCAAATGTAGTAGTAGTATTGAAGAATCTGATTTTGCAGTTATATAGAGCATACTCGAACACATGTAGTCACATAGGCTTTGCTTCTTTCGGAAGTCTAAACTGACAAAGAGCAAGCAAACAATCAAAATTGAACAGTTGCTTCTGTAATATTTCACAGCACTGTATATATATTTGTTTTATTTGATGATACGTTAGAAACGATTATCAATTTATTTGATAATTATAGAAAAGTAAAAATAAACTTATGAGTTTATCAAAGCCAAATAGCTTGACCTTGTTGAGGAAAAATGAAACTAAAATATGAAGCATCTCCACTTGAAAGTTGTTCAATAATTTTCTCACGTGCACCTTTTTCTGGTTTGATATGTGTCACAATAATTTTAACCTTCTCCATCGAGTGATAAGTTCTCAAAACATTAAGTTCTTTTAAAAGCCAATTAGGTGTCAAATGTCCAAATAATAAATGATCTGGTCGTTCATTTGGAAATGAAACTTCAATAAAGATAGCTTTTAATTCATCAGCACTAACAAGTGGAGCCATCGCTTTCCATAATTGACTGAGATATCTAGGTGAATATGTTGTGTTATCAGGTTGTATTATCTTTTCAACATCATCAGGACCCGTATCACCCAAATAAAGAATAGAAGCTGCAGGTTGATAGCGACGAGAAATCAAAAATGCTGAACTAAGATACGGACAAGTATGACACAAACGAAAAATACGAACATTGAAATCAGTATTAGCTATTGGAACTGATGTCGTTGACAGTGGATCTAATATTTGATAATCGTATGTCTAATAAAAAGAAAACAAAAATGCGAATAGAATATTCTTATATTCAAATTTAACTAACTTTAAGACCTGTTGAACCAAAATCAGCCCATGCTAGATTATTAAAATAACTTTGTCGAATAATATTAATTGTTTCATTAAGTCCAATAATAAATTTTCCTGATTTATCATTTGGAGTATTAAGAATAAATCCACTGTTATGATCGAGATGACCATGTGATATTAAATAAGCTTTTATTTGTTCTCGAATAAATGTCTCTTTATCTGTATTAGATGGTAATGATTTATGTTGAATTGCTATTCTATAAATATTCATTCATCAATATTATAAACTTTGGAAAAGAAAAAATATTTTCTTTACTCAATTCCATGACGTATAGTACCACCATCAAGTGCTATGTATGTCGAATTTGGATTATTATCATTTACTGATGTAAGTAAATAAGATGATATATTGTCTTCATCGAGACCACCAGTTGTACCAAGTGGAATAACATAGAAAACTGATGAAACATGTGTGTCAGGTGTCTGTTTTTCATTAACAGTAATTAGAATGATTGGAATAAGCGTCAGAGCAAGTATACTAATACTAAAAAAATGTAAACTATATTTATATTTAAGTAAATATTGCATTAAGAAATATTCAGGCGTTTATAGAGAAATATTTGGCCACCTTCTCTACATTTATACTCTGTTTTCTTTTTAATTAAAACTACAATGTATGCTTATTTCTGAAGAAGTTCGTGTCCATAAATGTCGAAAGGATGACAAAGAAAAAAAATAACAGTGTATTTTTCACTCATATATTGCCGGTATATTTACCCAATGATGCTCGTGACGACAATTTTGTTTTTGGTGGTGAGTGCCATCAGTAGGAATATATATACGAAATTGATAATTCGAACAACTAAAAGTAAAATATTTCTACTAGTAAACTATCATTGAACGCTCCACTGATAACAGAGATATATTAATCAATTCGAAAATCAATAAATATCATAACCAAGAGCTTTGCTAAAATAATTCATCATTTAGAAGTCAATTTTGAATTAATTTTTAGAGAACAATCAACTATTTCGTCAATATTTCATAAAAATATATAAGACAAAATTCGATGGTTCCTTATGAAGAAAAATATGAATCTGTAACTAATAACAGTATTAATGTATATTACTTTTCTTCATTCAAAAAATGTGTTTACTGATGCATAGTTCACTATGCTTCAAAATTGATACTTTGTTTTCTTCAGTTTTTGAATGTATTTTTCTATGTCTATTTTTCTCTGTAATCAATGATGTTGTCCTATAAATATTAGAAATAGAATAAAATTAGATAACAGACAAAATAAATAGAAGAACAAAAAAGAAAGACATCTCATCATGATGAATAGGCAAGAAAATAAAACCGAAAAATTCATACAAACAGATAGTTGGTGACGTATTTTGTTTTTTTGATATTATTAGCTAAGAAAATCAGTCGTATTCTTCTTTATACATCCTATAGTGTATATTTAATGTACCGTAAAGTTCTTCTTCGTTATTTACATATAAAATAAATAGAACAGATTGGAGTAGATAGCCAATACATAAGTATCCTAGCATAGAAATGTATAGACACAAAAGAGCACAAAGAAAGATTATATGGATATCATAATTATAGAAATTTTAAAATATTTAAGCGGCAAAGAAATGAAATTAGCAGAAGATCAGCAATGATTTCTTTTAAGTGTACTAGCAAATTATATTATTTTATTTCATATTCAGAAAGATTATAAATATTATATCTTTAACTATTCTTATGACTCGAAATGACTTTCATATGCGAATAGACTTTAAAAAAAACAGACACTAACCTTTAATTGTCAGCACACTGTAAAAAGAATACGATAAGATACGAAGAGCTTTTTTTTGTGGAGTACGTTTTGATCATTTTGAAGAATAGAAAAAATAAAAGACAGCTTAATAAAAGATGTCGTTGACTAAAACAAAATATTTCAAAAGTATTCTTACAAACTAGATTTCAATCTTTTGTGTAAGTCAATCCAATAGTTGATCAAACAATTCAATTGAGTTTAATTACTATTCATAGATATTCCATTGAGATATCATAAAACACAATGATTAACAAATATTAAAGATTTATTTTTTTTAGGATACGAACATCTCCAAATAGGGAAATGATACCATTAGTAGATTGAATTTGTAAAGTTGATTCTACGAGCATGCACAAACATTCATATCTTTTATGTGTGAGTATGCCGACTCGACTTAGGTACATACCCAAAATATTAGACTTTTATATGTTAGCCTTTAAAAAATGGAAAAGATGTAAGTTATTTTCTCAAATTTAAACCTTATAATTGAATTTTATATATAGCAAGTGAGAACGTGTCCTATCGATCTTCATTATTAATTACAATATTTGACTGTATAGAGTGTCATATATACTATCGTCAGCATCGTATGTTCTTCATCTACTGATGGACAGCTTGACTTTGAGCAACAATGTGAAATTCAATAATCCAGAAAGATATAGGAAAAGAATAAGTATAGGTATCAGTACGGTAGACCAAAGGTGAAGGTTGATGCTAACCTATATAACACTCTCATATGCTGTGAAATACAGTACTTGATAATAGAGATCAATTGAACTCGTTCACATAAGCTATTTATAAAATTCAAATAAAAGATTAAAAATTAAGAAAACACATCTTTTCTATTTTCTAAAACTAGCATATAAAAGTCTAATATTGTATGTGCCTAAATTAAGCCTATCTACTCAATGATAAACGATATGATTGTTCCTGTCTTTTATCGACATCTTTTCTTTTTTGATGATAGAGAAGCAAATTTTTTATTTAAAAAAAAAAGGGATTATTAGCGATTGATTGAGATTTTTTTAGTTGAATTTATACCATGTCAACGTCTGATAAAGATAATCTCAAATAGATAATAATTACATTTACATATAGTTTTCAGTTTTTGACATGTATTGTTCAAAACATAAACATGTTAAATATTATTCTTCGCGGGTATTTACAATAGTTGTCATTATTAAAAATGTAATCATATTCATAATATTCATTCTTTATTCTATCTTAATAGAACCATATAAAAAAAAATAGTATTACGAAGTTCAAATACAAAACGAAAATAATGATCTACATTGATTACATGCTAGATGAAAATGGTTTGATAGTTGTTTAATAATTTCACATAGAAGTATTTGAAATGCAAAGATATTCAAGTTTAAAATATCTTTTTTGAAATCCACTCCGTACTAAATCAATTAAATCTTTACAAACATACATAGTATGTTTTTTTTAATCTGTCATCTATTCAAGCTGTTAAAAACTCAACATAACTCGATTAGTGCTTGTCTGGAATATTCATCTCCTTCACTTTCTTTATTTTCAACTAAATAATCATCTAAAACTACGGTTTTTTTTTTAATTACGTAAGTTTAGTTATATCTTGATTTGTTTTATTATTACAAAAAAAAAAAAACATAAAAGTTCATCGTAGGGAATATATAAATCATGACTTTTGTTCTTTTTTTTTTTAGTGAGTAACAGATGCTGGCTTTTTAAAAAGACCTTCTCCAGTTGGTTTTGGCACAGGATCAAATGATATAAGATTACCAAAAAGAATATGTTGAGCTATAGGAAATTTATCCAAAACCTATTTAAAAAAAAAAGACAAAATAAAAAAAATAAAATTTCAAATTATTTAAACAAACTTCGCCATAATACATTTTAATCATTCCTTGATTAACTTTAGACCAATGAGCTACATTTGATATATCATGAAGTGTACTTGAATGTTCAAAAAATGGACCTGTTTTAACTTCATTTATAAATTTAATTGCACTTAAATATAAATAATCATTCGATAAATCTCGATAAAATCGTTCATCAATAGCTTGTTTTGGTTCAAGAGGACCATCATCTGTCAATTGTGATGAACCCCAAAGAAATGGTAAAAATTGATAATCATCTAAACACCATTGACCTTTTGATCCAGCTGGTTCTAAATAATAAGTTCGTTGTAATTTTCGACATAAATCAAGATAACTATATCAAGAAAAAGACAAAAATTATTTTTTTATTTTCAACGAATAATTAAAAATTTTACCGTGCAAAAAGTTTCAATACCATAGCTCGACTATCTTGTTCAGTAAGTGCTTCGATTTTGCACAAACATAAAAGAAATAAAACAAAAGCTAATTCATGACCTATGAAGAACGAAAAAAAAAAAATCATATTTAATCTATTAGAATAATTGTACTTCTAACCTGTGCCATAATCTAAACGAGTACTATTACCAAATGAATCCTGTAAATAAGGAGTAAGCTCTTCAAGATAATTATGATATTGTTCAGGTAAAGCTTCTTTTAATAATTGTTCACTTTCCTATTAATAATAAAAAATAATAATATTTAAATAATAAATTAAATATTTTTTTTTTTTTTTAGAAATAAAAACCTGTTTAAGTTTGGCATGCCAATCACGATAAGCAGCATCACCAAAACGTGATCGACCTTTAGGTGGACATTGATCAATGAATGAATCAAGTTTATCAAGTAAAATAATTAATTTTTCAAGAGTCTATGCTTGAGATATAAGTAAAAGAAGAAAATCAAAAGAAAATTAGAAAAATAATCATACAGGTGAAATAGGAACAGAATCAGTATTTTTCAAACCATGTACAGCTCGATTAAGGGATTGAACAAATAATGTATATTCTCTATATGCCTATAAATAATATTAAAAAAAAAATAAACTTATTAAGAAATTTCATCAAATTTAAAAATCAATTTTCATTTGATTGATCTTGTCGAATAGTGAAAAAAAAACTATATTATTGTTTAATTTTTCGATCTTCTCTGCTTGAGTTATGAGCGTCTAACTCGATTTTTGATAAAACTCAAGGCTTGAAGTTCGAACTAAATTTTTGTTTATTAATAAGTCTTATAGTCACTAGAAAGCCTACTTAATTCTTTGATAGAGTTCGTGTTGTCAGTGTTTCACTAAAAGCCGATGTCAATGTGATCGATGCTCAGTAAACCTTGTCTTAGTGATCAGTGTTTTATCCAGGATTTTTTCTCCGGAGGGGCGATTTAGAATTTCGGGGGGGGGGGGGGGGGGCGAAAAATTATTTTCGGGAGAGCAAGCCACGTGTTTTTAGTACGATGATCGCAAGTTTCGGGGGGCGAACTCGATTTTCGGGGGGGCGTGACCCCCCGGGCACCCGTCTGGATAAAACACTGTTAGTGATTCACTGCTTCCTATTTAGACCAAGACTGCGTATCGCTCAATAAAATGTTCATAACTCGATAAATAAAATTTGAAAAAAGAAAAACAAACTGAAACAGACTTTTCACTACTTACAAGGTTAATCAAATGACAAGAGTCTCAAACGAGAAAGAGTTCTACACATGAAGAGATTACATCATGAGAAATAGTACATCAACACTTACTTTAGAATCTTTCCAGGCTTTCATCATTGAAATATCTTTAATTTTAGGTATTGGTTTTTGACATGGTGTAGTACTAGCCTCAGCTTTTGAATCTGACATGATGAAAAATTCGAAAGGCCTTTGAATAATTAATTTATTTAATATGAAAAATCTAAAATATAAAAAAAAAAAATCAATATTTTTTAATATAATACATTTTTCAAAGATGAAAAAGAAAAAAACAAATATAAACTAAAATAAATAATTATAATTCACATTACATCCATACTTTTAATCTTTCATTTCCATAATCAATTCTAAATCTATCTGTATTTTTCAATCGTCCTGTTGATTGTTCAACAAGATATTGACATAAAATGTCTTTATTTGAATTAATATATTCTGATAATTGTCCATACATACTGAGAACGATTAATTTTGGAAAATAATTCAAAATTAATGATATCGTATGAGATTCGATTTTTAAATTTGAATTTCGTAAATCAATACACATATGATTTACTCGAAAAAATACTCGAGCAATTGAATGAATATGTTGATCAGTTAATTTTTCAATAGATGTTTCTTCAAATCGAATACATAATATAGAAATACGTTGATGAAGAAGACAAAATAGAAAAAGTGATTGATCATCATCGTTAAGTAATTTATATAAACAATCAAAATCAATAGAAATTGCTGAAAGATTAGGTGCAACTAATAAAATTTTTTCTATATAACTTGAATCGGGTGGAATACCTTGAATAGAAAGAAAATCAAGTCGACCAAGATAAGGAAGTGCAACTGATGTATTTTGTGGATCTTGATTTCCTAAACAAAAGAAAAAAAAAGAATTATTTAACCAATGTAATATCAATGAAAAAATAAAATAAGATAAAAATTTTACTTGATGGTAATGCTCGAATAGAAATAATCAGATCGAGAATTTGTCGACAATGTCGTACGATACCAGCTATTTCTTTCAAAGCTATTGTATCATAAACATGTAAATGACGAACTTTTTTATAAATTGAACTATTTACATCAGCTGACATTTGTTTATGAAATAGAGAACGAAGTGAGAGACGATTTGGATGATAGGAAACGGTATGTAAAAAAATACGTTTATCATTTTCACTTATTGAATATGCAACAGGAATAGATTTCCATGATTTAATAATACGAATTGGATCAAACTTATCATCTTTATCAAATGAATGATAACATATACTATAATTAAATTGTTTTACACAAGAAGGAAGAAGTGCAAGTACACATTGTCCATTAATCATAGAATAATCACGAGTAACAAGTACAAATGAGAAATTTTTGATAGTAGGTGAAATCTGAATCAATGTTTTTAGATCATCGAATGTTGAAAACCAACTCATAGCATAAACATTTAGTTCTGTTAAATGAGAATTGATTTGTTGATCAAATGAAACTTTTACCCATGGACGTTTAAATGTTAAATGAAGTTGTTCAATATTAGGAATCATTTGAACAAGTTTTAAAAGATCTTTTGTTGTTTGCAATTCAATATCTAATTGAATTATATTTGGAAAAGTTATTTCACAATTTTTTTCATCTGCTATATTCAATGCATCACATTCATGATCAAAAACAATATGTGTTAATTGATTATCATTTGCACCAAGAATTTTCCTAAGAAGATTTATATTTGTTATTGATTCAGTTAGATCAAGTGCTTGAATAACAAGTTTATGAAAATGTTTCATTCCATGTAATGTATCAATAAATTTAATTAATTTTTCATCGGTCCAATTAACTAATGTTAATTTTTCTAAATCTTGATAAATATGATTATTTTTAAATGATTCGAAAAATAATGGTGATTCTAATTCAAATATGACTAAAGAACGAATAGATGATTCAATTTGAGGAAGAATTATTGTAAATATATGAATAAATTGCATATAAAATGTTTTATGAAGTGAAACATGTTGACGATAAAAAGTTATTGTTTGATTTAAACGAGAATTAAGGCCAAAAAATGAATAGAGTACATCACCACTATGAAGATATCGACAAATTTCTAATAGCATCTCATCAGGTAACATTTCTAATTTTGAACAATCGAAAGACATAATTATCTAAAATAGATGTAAGTCAAAACTATGAAGTATTCTAGAAAAAAATAATCAAGTTTTTTTTCTGATTCATTAACAATCATAATTTCTCATACTTTCACTTTGTTGTTTTTTTACCGTTTTAAGAAATCGTTTCTTTTTCAAAAATGATAGACATTAATAATCTTGTAAAAATGACATATTAATATCTCTAGAAAAAATTCTATTAGTTTATCTGGTACACTATTATTAGATCATTGGTTCCGAAGACACTTTTCAAGAATTGAAATCGGAATCCATATTTTTTGTTCCGTTTTACTAAACAGAACCACCCACTTCTTGAACGAATCGTATCATCATAATGATACTCTTAATTAATTTTCTATGCAAAAAAAAATCATTTTGAAACAATACATCGTAAAATTCATTGTTGAGTATGATAGAAATGATCAAAGATAATAACTTATTGAATATAAATATCAATCTAATCAATAAAGTCGTTAACTTAATTCTTCATAATCACATTGCTCATCATTAAACAAAAATCTGTAGCCAAAACCGTATAAAACTTATGAGAAAAAGCTTCTAACCGTCGAATTGCTTTTTTTTACTAAGTCTAGTACATTGTAGATAAAGGAGTATGTTGATTCCGATTATCAATACGAGGTCAGCAGCTGGGACTTCGAAGATTCATTGTCTGGAAAACTAGTATATCCTAGCGAAAATATTATTTCATCGAAAAACTTGTTGATCCGTCTAGATTGTAGCGCACGCGAGTTGACTATAAAACACTATTTTTTTTCGTTTTTGATCCACTCTAGGAAAGTATAGAGACGCTAGAACATCTAATATTTGCACAATACTACTACTCGTTGAATTCTATGCCTTTACAACGAAGTGTGTATGAGAAAATAACTTATATCCTTTTCAAATGTAAGTCACGCATAGTGTTCACTAGCTAGTAACCCGTTGACGTAATACACTAAGCATAAATTATACTTACTATTCATTATATGATCTAAGAAGTTTGCAATCTCGTATGCTTTCTGTTAATAACTCTATGGTGTCATTCTCTTAAACTGAGGAGAGAAAGCCTGTAATTGTCTAATTGCTTTTTTAATTAAATCTAGTGAGTATGCGTGTGTATGTGCAATATTCGTCTGACGGCGTAATCTATTCTCTTGCTGAATGCAAATGACGCTTATCTTTGAAAAAGCGAGAAAAAAAGGAGGATATTATTTCTATCAATTTTCAAAGATAAAAGAAAGAACTATACTACTTGTGATCTTAGTAACGATTTTCGAATGAAAAAAATAAATAATGCTTTATAGGAAAATGGACGTGCTGTACCATCTAGACGAATCAACAAATCTTTGATGAAAATAGGTTTTTTTATTGTCAGAAAATGATCTCTGAAGTCTTAACTATCAGTCGCGTATTCATATTCCAAATCAGCATGGTCGACTACCTGTAACCCGTCAAACCTTAAGGAAAATACGATAAGAGAGCTACAAGCTTTCTTTCATTAGTCCAATATATGTTGTATATCGAAGATGACCTTTTTTTTTTTCTTTGAAGATTAAATATAAAATTTAGTAACAAAGTTATGATCTAAAAAAAAGAAGAAAAACAGAAGCTTATCAGTATTGCTAGTATAAAAATTGAAAACAATTTCAACAGTTAGTTTAAAAAAGATGTACAAAAAATATCCAACAATCTTCATAGATGTATAATCAATATGGAATTGGTTTACCATTAAAATCTAAGAATTTTCCATTATCTTTTAATGATAATTTATTAATGGTAGTTAACATACGTTGAACTGATTCAGCTTTTGTTAAAAAATGTGCATCTTTTGGAAATAATTTTTTATATTCATGCATCATTTGTGTATTAACAATGCCAGGTGATATTGAAACAAATAATAAAGGTTTTTCATCTTTTTTTAAACCACAAATTGAATTTTCATCTGTCGATTGTCGTCCAAATTCTAAAGCTAAATTTTTTGTTGCCATATTTAAAGCACATTTTGATAGACGATATGCATACCAACCACCAACATGATTATTATTAATTGATGCAAGTTCAGCTGATATATTAACAATTAATGATGAATAAGGAGCATCTGATGAGGGTGATCCAAATGATGAACGACCTCGTTTTAAAACATTAAGTAAAATTTTCGTAACTAATAATGGACCAACAACATTTACTTGATAAACATCATTTAAATCAATACTAAGAACATCATTTAATGAAGTTTCAACTCGATTGGATGGATGCCCTTTAAGAAAAATACAACAAAGAATTAGAAAAAAAAGAAGTTTTTAGCTTTTATTCTTGTTTTTTTTTACATATATGTGCACAATTAATAAGCATATCTAGTCCTCGTTCATGTTTCAAATCATTTAAACATTGTTCAACTTGCGCTCCAAATGTATCAAATTGATCGTGATGTCGAACATCTAATTCAAGAACATCTAAACGATGAAGTGGATTTCTTAAATATTCTTTTTGTAAATTAGATAAACGATCATCGGTCGTTTGTTGACATGTTGCTATAACATGAGTAGGTGTTTGACGTTTTAATAATTGTCGAACAAATTCTAATCCAATACCACTTGATGCACCTTGAATAAGTACTGTTGCTTTCGGCATCAAAATATTTTATCTGAAAAAAAACATAAAGGATTATTTGAAGTCAATTATATATTTTAATAAATTCTTCGTTTTCGTCCTGAAAATGGTAAACAACGACTATTATGTACATATTGACGACGAAGTATATCACGAATATCACATTGAATAGATGAATGATAAACTTTATCCATTAGATTAAGAAGAATTTCTTTGATAAGAAATAAACAAATTTCTGCTAAACGAAGATCTTGATTTGATGAAAACTTTTTTGATGATATTAAATTATTTAATTTAAGCCAATGCTGAATATCAATTGATGATAATGAACGAAGATTATTGAATGAAGTATGTTGTTGTTCAACAAATGATAAATAAGCATCTGGTGTTAATGCATCACTTTTGTAATAGATATCAAGACGAGCATATTGACGAGAACGTTGATGATCTAATATTGATTGTGCTAACTATTTGAAATAAAAATCGACAATTTTTATAGTTATTTCATTAGAATGTTAAATAAATATTCAAAAACTTAGAAAACAATAGTATATGAATTTTTAGATACATATTTTATTTGATATTTGCAGGTTAAAATTTTGAAAACATGTTTATATTATTCATTTCAAGAGAAGTTCGATCCATCTTAAAATAAAGACAACAAGTTTTTAAGTCTTAAGAATTTTTGATTCTCTATCTCTTCAATATACTCTTGCGTTCAATCATTCAAGCTTACCGGCAACACTGATTAGTTACGTGTTAACAGCAAGGTTAGATGACCGTCACAACTTTGTGTGCTATAGGATGGATGATCTGAGATAAACAGTCGTTAGTAAGTTGCTCTAAAAAATTTCTATTTAAGGACCCACATCGTCAAAAGCGTTTAGATTTGATCGCATGACTATAATACTAAAAAAAAGATAATCGATTAATCCCTATTTGCAAGCGTAGGAACCGATTTTGTTAAGAAAACTTTGGAAATTCATGAAATTTGGACGCATTATTTGGATATGAATATCTCCGATCTTTCCAATGACTTCCAACCAATTTCTTGTACTTTCTAATAAAAAAGTGATCGAACATTACAGGAAGAATTCTAAGACGTTCTAGTTCGGAATATTGTGTCGAAGTTCCATCGAAATTTACTTGTTTTTGGATTCGAACTTACCAATCTCAGATGAAATTTTTCAGCAAAAATCGTCAGAACAAAAGGTCGCGGCAAGTATCAGATTGTTGCTAATTTTCACTAAATTCTGTAGTTGCTGCTTTCTGATTTTTGAAAAAAAAACATAACTTTAGATACATTACAGAAAAGCGCAAATCAGATATAAAAAAACAAGAAATGTTATTTCAATAATACCAGTATTTTTCTCGTCATAATGATGGCAATTGTTTGTTTCATCTTGATAACTTACTCTGATGATCACCTCTCAACACAGTAAATTTCTGATTTCTGATCTCTTAGCTATTTGTGGAACAATAGGATTTCGAAGAATAGATAACTATACTTATATTAGTTCAAATTCATAGGATTTTTTTCTAATCTGTAGAAATTTTCAAGAATTGAAACTTATAATAATTTTTACACATCAATTTTAAAGTTAGTACTAATTTGAAATTTTCCACTTTCTGGTTAAAAAAATACTAAATCTACCGTGAATTTCAATCTCGCTAACCGTAATCTCTACTTGAAAAGAACAAAGAACATCACAAAAGATTTATAAGAATTGGAAAATTTCAACAGTACAGAATAATATCATTGAAAGAACTACTAATGTTGTATTAGGAGGAAACACAATGAAGATTATTTCTATGGAATAGTAAGCATTTTGTTAACTGGAATTGTTACATCAGCGACTGTTGAATACTGCTTTCTATTAATACAGTCAACGATCCAGAATATTTTCTGTTAAAATAGAACAATTCATATAAGGATAATTAGTTCCTCTCGAATGAATTTTACAATATTCGAATGATCTATTTATGTGTTGATGCTAATTTTCTAGATATATAATACAATTAATTTACTTTATTTTTGTTATCATTAATATAAATTTGTGTTTGACGACATATTTGTTTAAATCTATCAGCAATTGTCATTTTTTTATCTTTTCCAATATTTTCAACTAATGCTTCTTGTTGTAATGCTGGTCGATCTTTTGCTTGAACAAATTGTTGAAGTCGTTTAAGACGAGACTTTTTATAACGTGAAGTATATACAAGTGTACTAAGATATGATAATAGATGATTATTATTATTTTGACTTGTTATTATCAATTGTTTATGCTCAATAAAATAATGACGAAGTTGTTGACGACAATATTCAGTAATATAATCAACAGTATGTGTTGGATAAGGATATCCATTACCATACATACGAAGACCAATATCAACTACATTATAAAATATATCTTGATCATTATTTCTTTTTGTTGACATTAGATATTTATCTATAAAAAAAAAACAATCTATATATATATATATATATACATATAACTATTAATATAGACTAAATAAATAAGAAAACTATGATATACTCTTTATTTTACTTGAGTTTTTATCACATTTTCTATAAAATATGAATAGAGAATTTTTTACAAACGAAAAACAACGGAATTTATTTTTTTTAAAGCCAAATTTTAAATTCTAATTCATCACATTCAGCTTTGAACTTATTCGTATATTCTTTTAAATACGTATGTTCTATCAACCATTGAGAAGGATTATAACGTAATTGTTCAGTTGTTGAACTACGAAATATAATTGATACTAATTTATGTGTTTTAAAATGATGAAGAAATAATAAAATTATATTTTCAATCGATATGTCATTCGATGTTTTATTCTCAACAATAATATGATGAATAAGAATGAATACATTAGATAATATTTCTATATTGTTATCATTCAATTCAGTTTCATCAGTTATTTGAATAGAAAGATGTTTTATACGATTTTTTAATAGTGATATACACAAATGATCATTTTCTTTATCGATCAATTGAAGAAGAAATTTCATATCAAGAATAAGCATACATAAATTAGGTGCTACAAGTAAGATTTCTTTTAAAAGATAACCATCAGATGGACAACCATCAATCGAAAACCAATGAAGTTGATTTAAACAAGGTAATGATAGATTTATTTTATTTTCTTGTTTATGTTCGGTTATTACTATACAACAACAACAAAAAACGCATAAAACAATTCTAAATATAATAAATAAATAAAGTACTTACTTGAAGACGATGTATCATTTATTTCTAAAGCAAGATCTTTTACTTTGTTACAATAATTCATCACAAGAAATATTTCAGATAATGTTGATACATTAAAAATAAGTAATTCTTTTATATAATAATTATAACCATTCGTTTTTATATTCATATATTTAATAAATAATGAACTAATATCAAGATAAGAAAAACCATATGGAATTGTATGAAGAAACATATGAGATTTATCATCATTAAGTAAACAACAAATTGAATAAGGTGTTGATGACCATGATAATATAATATTATCAATATTTTCAATTTCTTCTTCTAATGTATAATCAATAGCATAATTAAAACATTGTAAAGTATTTATTGGAAGTATTGAAAGAAATAATTGTCCATTAAATAAACGAACATCTTGAGAAAATATATCAAGTGATAAATATTTAATAAAAGGCATTTGTTTCAATAATGAACTAATTTCATCAAAAATCCAACATCGACGAAATGATTCCATATGAAATTTAACTAAATTATACATTATTAATTCATCAAATTGAATTATATCATCTTTTAATTGTTTATCAATAATAATATACATCTGACAAATATTTGGTATTAATTTAAATAGATAACGAAGATCATCTATTTTTTCTAAATGAATATTTAATTCAATTATATTTGGATAAATTATTGAATTTAATTGATTAATACTTAAACTTTCAGAATGACGATTAAATAAAATTTTTTTTAAACGATTTTTATTTGCTGATAAAATTTTATTAAATAATGTTTGTTTATATTCTTCTGTTACATTATATCGATCATGAATTGTTAATTTATTTAAATATGGAAGATCTGAAATACTTTCTATATAATCATTTAATTCATTTCCACTAAAAGCAACAAGAATAAGATGTTCAATATTTGGAAATATTTCTTTCATTCGATAACCAAAATAAAATAGAAAACGTTTAGCTAATAAATCTGTCCAATTTGCATTTATTGATAATGAACGAATTGTTGAACCTAATTTAGGTAAAATATTTAAACAAATATATTCAAATTGAATAAAACTTGTTCGACGAAGTACTGCATGTTGACGATAAATAGAAATAGTACGATTTAAACGAGAATTTAAATTAAATAATGAATAAAGTACATCGGTTGACGAAAGAAATCGACATATTTCTAAAAGTAGTTCATCTGGAAGCTCTTCAAAAATCATCTATGAATGAATTTTCTACACTGAAATTATTGCCTAGGAGAAAAAGTTGTTCACCAGAACTAAATTTAACTTTGATTGGTTAAGAATAACCATTAATCAAATATCAAACCTCCGAAAGAAAGTTTTTTCTTTCGTTTAGACATAAATTATTTACTAACAAATAAAAATTATCAAATTTTTAATAGATAAATTTATTCTAATTAAACGATTTTATTTTATTAATTTCTATTCGATTAATAATCAATTATCCGAAAGTCAGATAAACAACCAAAAAAAAAAAAATAAGAAAAAAAGAAAACAGGAAAAGCAAACATATGCAAGAAAGAGAAAAAAAAGAGACCAATCCTTGCATTTGGTGCACAATATAAACCTAAAAGGGTGCATCAGAATGACGAAATATTTTACGATTCTGTCTTTTTTTTTTCTTTTTGTCTTTCCGTTTCATTGATCAGTTTTATACGTGTTTTTTTTTGTGTGCGACCTTTATTTTAATACGAAGTATATATATTTTTGATACAGATTAATCCTTCTATAATATTTCTATTTTCTTGATATTATGGGTCGAGATCGTTCACGTTCGATGTCTTCGAGTTCTTCGTATGTTGTTTTTCTTCTCATTTAATTTTCGAGTAATTTAATATTTTTTTATTTTTATTCAAGTGGGCGTGGTTTACAAGCTACAACATGGGATGGTGAATCAGGTTATCGTGTTCATGTATCTGATTTAGCAGTAGGAGTTTCACGAAAAGAAATCGAACGAGCTTTTGGAAAATGTGGATCTATTAATGAAGTTTGTTTGTTTATCTATTCATTTAAATAGTTAACATATGTTCGCGTAATTAGGTATGGGTCGCAACAAATCCTCCATGTTTTGCTTTTATTAATTTTAAACATCGTAGCGATGCTGAGAAAGCTATACGAGAGGTCGATGGAAAGTAAGATAAATCGATATTTTTGAATAATTTGAAATTGAAATGTTTTGATTTCAGAATGATTGGTTCGACTCGTGTTGGTGTCAGTTGGGCACGTACTCGTAGATATGGTGGTCGAAATGGTGGAGGTCGCAGTGCTGCTCCATATGGTTCCTATCGAAGTGGTCGTGGAAGTCGACGAAGATCAAGGTAAAAATATATTATGTTTCCTTTTACTTAAGTTAAATTTCTGTGGTTGTTTAATCCCCAGTTTTGTGTTATTTAATGCGTGATAAAAGGTGAAGCTTTGATCTTAGTATAAAAGAAAAGAAAAACATTTTTTTTAATGAAAATCATATCGTTTGAAACTAATTTCTTTTTTTTTTTTCTCCAATTAATTTTGATTCTAGTAGCTTCGCGCATTCTCGAATGGTCTCTGATGAATCGGGTGTTATATATTGATAAGAAAATGATGATCTGTTGGTCTTTTCAGTCACATACAAATATGACTATTGGCATCGGCTTTGACTTTTCACTCTAGTGATTTGTATCAGCCGGACAAAAGTTTTTTTCTTTGGTTTTGAAGCAAAAAAAAGACAGATCAGGAAAAAGTTGTTTACATTTGTATGGATCTTCTTTTCGGTTTGTGGGTCATGATGCTCGGTCAAGACGAATATGGATGGAAAGTTTTCAATTGTTAATTATTTGTCTTATTATTTGTTTTTTTTTTTTTCTTCTTTTTATTTATTTAATTTAACAGAAGCCGTTCTCGAAGTGATTCACGTCATCAAAGACGCCGAAATAGTCGATCACGTTCACGAGGTATTGATTTTGTTTTTTTTGTTTTTCTTCTTTATTTCGAAAGGATACTAACAGATAAAATTGTAAATTTACCATCTTTTACATCTCACTTTCAATCGTACGCAGAATCATACAGAAAATCATGAAAAACTACGTCTATCTATACTATTAGTTTTCGAATTGACTTTGCATTATAAAAAGCTTATGGCTACAATAGTTATTATTAAAAAAACAAAACGCTCAAATTTATTAACCCTCTAAAATTATTTAGCCCTTGAAAGATATATTTTGCATGCAACAGAATAAAACTGTGCAGAATTTCATACTCTATCTTTTTATCTTATTGTAAGTGAGATCTGAGAGAATGATTGATTTACGATCTTATCCGATGATGTTCTTTAACTAAATTTTCTTTGTTTTTTTTTAAAGACCGATATCGTCGTCGAAGTGCTTCACCACGTGACCGTAAACGTTCGAGTCGTAAAAGTAGCGAAAAAAATGGAAATGATGATGAACGTAAAAATGAACGAAAATCTAATACACCTCAATCAGCTTCACGTTCTCGATCGCGTTCGACACCTCGAAAAGAAACAACAAATGAAAACAAAAAGTAAAATATATATTTTTGTTTATATTAAAATAATATTATATTCTTTATTTCTCAGACGAAGTCCGTCACGTAGTCCAAGTGCTGATGGTGATGATGGTGACTCACCTTTAGCTGATAGAACGGATGATAATAATGCTTATGAGTATAAAAAAACAAAAAAAATTCTTTTCCTTTTTCATTTGATTAATTAATTTGTTTGTTTTCAGTGGATCACCATTGGCTACCGCTGACGAATAAAGTTCTCAGTACAAATTATTTTCAATACTTAACCAATTTCGTATACATGGATTTCTCTTTGGTCTCTTTTTTTTTTGTCATCGTTGTTTTCTATTTGTATTGCTTTTGAGTGATTTGTGAATTCTTTTTCTTTTCGAGCGAAAAATAAAATATCGAGTGTCTGAATAATAATAATAAAGAAATAAATAAATAATTTATTATTAATTTATATCTTTGCAGATATTTCTTTTTACTTAGTGTATTCTGACAATGTCCGATAAAGATCGGTATAATATATTTCCATCACGAATGTAAGCTAATGAATTGAATTCTTTTAAATGTTTGAATTTTTTTTTTTTTCTTAAAGGGCTCAGAGTATCATGAAAGGACGTTTGAAAGGTGCTCAAACAGGTCATAGTTTATTAAAGAAGAAAGCTGATGCATTAACAATTCGTTTTCGATCAATATTAAAAAAAATAATTGATGTAAGAAGCATAAACAATTCATAGAAAAAAAAACTGAATTTTATTTAATAAATTTTAGACAAAATTATTAATGGGCGATGTTATGAAAGTAGCAGCTTTTTCATTAGCTGAAGCTAAATTTTCAATGAGTGGAGATTTCACTCAAGTTGTTATTCAGAGTGTTAGTAAAGCACAAATTAAAATTCGAACAAAACGAGATAATGTTGCCGGTAAGTTAAATTATTGTTTTTTTGTTTTTCGAAAAATATACAGTATTCGTCATATATATAAGGTTAAGATATGTTTTATTTCTTTTCATACGGTACCACGTATTAAATTCGAATCCAAATATTGGTTTCAATACTCAATGAGGTTCTCTATCAAGTACATTTCATATTAGGATTTCATAAATGGACTATGAGAGGCAAGTTTCTAGTAAACCAAATACGGATATTTTCAGGTTCTAGAAGAGTGTAAGATTTAATTTTTAGGAGTTTCGTATTAAAGAACACCAAGTCCGGTACATGGGTGGAACCGGTTGAGAAATATTAAAACGGTCCGGTCCGGCCGGTTGAAAAATCCTACCGGTCCGGTCCTGCCGGAAACCGGCCGGTTGGAATCACATGTCCAACCGGTGAAATTCCGGTGAAAACCGGTGGAAAAATGTCGAATTTATTTTTTGAAAACCGATCTTTAGAAAAAATCGCTCCAAATATGAAACAGTTTAAGGCGCATGTAAAAGACGCTCATCATAATGAATCTTTTTAAAGAGAACCTCAGGAAAAACGATTAATATAACATATGTTTTGAGCACTTTTTTACCTATTCTGACAGAAAAAACATCTGATACCTTAGTTTTTATGGTCAAAGACAGGATTAACAAAGAAGATTTTTGAAAAATTTCAACCGGTGAAATTCCGGTCTTTACCGGCCCGGTTGATTTCTTCAACCGGACCGGTTCCAACCCTGGTCCGGTATAAAATAAGAGGTTGCTACATTTCTTATGACCTTTTTCTAAAAAGATTATAAGCATCACAAGAATTTTTAAAAAGCGATTTTTAGCAATGGTAAAATACATTTTATTTTTTCTTCACTTTTTGTGAAACTTATAACTTTGAAAGAGATGATCATCAAAAATGCAGCAATCCCTCATTTCAATCAAGATGTTGTACTCTTCATGATGATAGTCGTAAAAACTAAATCACTCTGTGTTCTGTTATCCGAAAATTATCATCTTTAATTTTCCAGAAACCTTTGTCTCGTAAGTACATTCATGAAATATCAGTATAGAATTCATTTGATAAAGAATTTGATTGGATATTGAAATCAGTAATTGAATTGGAGTTGAATGCTTTTAATATTGTAGAAAAAATCAAAAATAAATTGATCTTGTATTTTAGACAAGTATTATTTTCGAACTCATTTTTTATACAGATTAGTGGCAGAACCAGAAAGTCACTGTAGAAGGTTCAGTCTATCTTTCAGAAACCTTTGAATTTCGGCTAGAAATGAGACGATACTTGTTTTTAAGTTTCAAATAGGAGCTAAGCTTCTTCTACAAATTTTTTCTGCTTTCACCACTCATATAGAAAATCTTCGATCTAGTTTAGTCTATTATTTGTTGGAAAAATAAATCTATTAATGAATCAGTTGATCTAAAAGTTTTCATAATACTCTTTTTATCATCAGTAGTACTATAGAAAACTCCAATGATAATGTAACCTAATTCCTTGCAATAAAAGAGTCTGTTACAAGATTGTCATTGTTATGATCGATCCAACTAAAATTATCCTTCATTTATTTCTTTTTGTTACTATAAATGAAAGTATTGAGTTTGAATTTCGTCCTCAATATCTAATAGTTAAACACAAAGAATTCACAATTAGATTATTTACGCCGTTTACATTTATCTTATACTATCACTGATCATATAAATATATTCGTAAATGTAGTAAAATAAAAGAAGGATAAAGGGTATCCTTTATTGATCATGTCGCT